ACCTGTAGTTTCTAAGGAAATACACTCTTTCAGAATAAAATGGAAACACCCTATTTCTAAAGCTACCTTTGGTGTCTTCAACACAACACTACTAGATAAAGGAAAAATACACAATATAGTATGTTACATTTTCAGATATTCTTGGACTTCAAAAAATTAATGAGGTTTTCAAATGAACTTAATCAACAAGTAGGTGAGCCACTAAAAGGTAAAGGTTTCCCTGAGTCCAATAACACTCCACAGAATAAGACCTTAGCTTAAAGGAGCTCCTATCAGACAGTCAGCTGACTTCTCAAAAGAGACCTTATAGGCAAGAAGGGGCTGGAAAGTATTCCAAGTCACGAAAGGCAAGGACCTACATCCAAGATTGTTCCATCCAGCAAAACTTTCATTCAGAATGGAAGGGCAGATAAAGTGCTTCTCAGATAAGATTAAATTCAAGAAGTTCATCATCACCAAGCCCTTATTATATGAAATGTTAAAGGGACTTACCTAAGAAAAAGAAGATAAAAAATATGAACAGTGAAAGGACGGTAAACTCACAGTTATTAAGAACCATACCTAAAACAAAGCAAACTAAGAGGACAGCTAGATCAGGAGCAGAACCATAGAAATGAAGATCACATGGAGAATTAGCAACAGGGGAGTGGGAGGAGGAGAAGGGGGGAGAAGGTACAGAGAATAAGTAGCATAGACAGTAAGTAGAAAATAGACAGGGGGAGGGCAAGAATAGTATGGGAAATATAGAATCTAAAGAACTTGAGATATGTGGTCATAAACTAAAGGGGGTGGAATGGTGGGGAAAGGGTGTGCAGGGTGGAGGGGAATAAAGGGGGGAAATAGGACAACTGTAATGGCATAATCAATAAAATATATTAAAAAAAGAATAAGACCTTAGCTTTCCCAAATAAGAAAGTAAATTTACATATCACAAATTGCTTTAAAATCGTTTTCAGTTTTAAAATGTGCTGGTTTTTGATCAATAATTTAAATTAGAGTGGTTGCCACAACATGGTGAAAATGAGTACTGAATGTTTATTCTGGACCTTTAGGCTCTATTCTTGGTTCTGCACTTATAACTGAGCAAATTGTCAATACATTCTGTGCTTCAGTTTCCTCATCTGTACATTAAGGGAGTTAGCTATGCAATCATTAATTCTATGAAAAATATCTTTTCAAAAACACAAACACAGCTGATTATGTTCCCTTTATATCTTTTGTTAAAAAGAAATGGACCCTAAATGCAGTCAATGCAGTAAGCCCCATCAAGACTTGCTACCTATTCTAATTGCAGTTTCAGTCTCTCCCTCCTCAGAGCACGTTTCTCTTTATTAGATGGGATGCTGTCTGATTCATAAATCATTCAGTAGAACCAATTAGATCTTTAAATTAACTTGGCTGAATTTTTGTTCTTCAATGGATTCTATTTTTTTTAAGTTTCAAAGGTTGGTATTTATAAAAACTAAAATTCTAAAGGCTCAAAAGGTTAGTATAAATATGCAATTTCCTCTTAAGGGAAATATCCAAAGAGAAAAACAAGAAAAGCAGAGAGTGAAGTAAACCTGTTATCCGAACAAACAAGTCAAATCAGTGAAGTTAGTAAACACATATAATTAGGTACTGGTTACAAAATTGGTTACAAAAACCAATATAGCATTTAGTGCATTATTTAAACATAACCACCATACTGTAGAAGTACCTAGGACCTTCAAGTTCAAATCAGCAAAATTAATGTCATATATATAATTTATATATATTTTGTAAGTGGCCAGTAGCACATAAAGTATTAGGTTTTGCTAATTAAACTTAAAGGGTGTGTATATGTGTGTGTGTGTGTCCCCGCCTGGAAAACGTCCAGCCATTGTTAATATAATGAGAATGGTTTGCAAGACATAGATGAAATCCAGCAGCCAAGGAAAGTGGACTGGAGTGTGCATGTGTAAACAATGACGACTTCACTATACTAGTCAGGGGGCAGTTAACACCACTGACTGGTTCATCGTCACCAAGTGTCCTGTGTGGCTATCACATTCAAAATGAGCAAGTAGAGTAAACAAATCTGCATCGAATTTTGCTTTAAGCTTGAACATTCCTCTGCAGAAATAACTCAGATGATTTACAAGGCTGTAGCTATGGGCAATTGGTGATTGGCAGCTTTATTAGCACAACCCGCCCACTCATGCATCACCTCTCATGCAGAGATTTTTGGTAAAACGCCCAGGTAACTCAGGCCTCTACAGCCCAGATTTGGTGACGTGCAACTTCTGGCTTTTCCCAAAACTAAAATCACCTTTGAAAGGGAAGAGATCCAACCATCAATGAGAGACTCAGGAAAATACAATAAGGCAGCTGATGGCAACTGGAAGAACTGTGTGAACTGTCTGTCTAATTTGAAAGGAACTAAGGCATCACTGTCCTGTGTACAATGTTTCTTGTATCTTGTATGTTCTTCAATAAATGCCTGTATTTTTCATACTACATAGCTGGATACTTTCTGGACAGACCTCATATATCTGATATCTGCCCAGGTGGCTACTATTGGAGTTTTTACTACACTCTATCTTAGCCAAAAGGCCGAGAAGTGATGGAGTTGTGTTTTTAAATATTGATTTTTGTGGGGTTCTAACGAAGATTAACAACTTAAGGGGGGGAAATGTATTAAAAAATAAAAGCCTGGAATAATAGATTGGTCTATATACATCACCTCTACTCCCTGAAGATCACGTTTTCAGAAACGAGCTTTCAGCACTAAGTACTTCCCTAACCTACTATTCCAGGTGAAACCGATCGAACAGACTTAGTAATAGTTTAGGTGTTTTAGTGCCTATTTCTTTTCAGGTCCTACAAGGAATGAAATGAGTAGAGCACAAAGAAAAATGGTTTTGTCAATGACAATAATAGAGAATTTCAAGAGTTAGAGGAAAGTCAGAATGTCAGAACTGGAATGAGTTGGTCCAAGCTGCTCTATGGTCAGAAATTCTCCTTCCATTGCTCTTCCCTGCCTAAACCTTTGAGATTCTCTATTTTAATGTAGTAAGTCTCTACTTACATATAAGATCTACTACAACACAGGCCACCCAAAAGCCTAGGGGTTCCTCCCCTTCTTTGGTACAAGTCTAGTCTGTTCAAGACTCCTCAGAAGGTACATGACACTCTCCAACTCCTAGAAAGATAGTTTTATCAGACCCAAAGATTACTCCTCTCTTTATGAGTCAAAGTCACATAAAAGCAAGAGAGTTTGATGAAAGTAAAACATGTAAAGAGATTATTTGTAATATAGTGGCAAATGTTACAATATTAGTGCTGGGGATTTATAACAAAGTAACAAAGGGAGGAACTCTATCTAGGCTTGGTTAGAGACCTTGGCTACAGAATGCCTGATTGACAGGGATATTCCAAGATGGACTGTATCACACTTTACTGAAAACCTACAATGTACTGTGCTCTCTGGCACTACAGATAAACAGAAAAATAAGATGTATATTTCCCCACTTTTAAGGTATCCAAAGAAAACAATTTACCAGTATTTTGCTGTGTATAATGCACACTTTCTTGCCCAAATTTTTTAGGGAAAAATAGGGGTGCACATTATACATGGGTAGTGCTAATTCTATATCTATATAAATGTTTTTAATTCTTTTATTTATGCTTGTGTTAAAAGTGTAACTCTAGAAAGCAATAACGATATCCATATGCAAAATAATACCCTGGAATATGATAATCAGTTTTGTTTCTAAATATAACTAAATGAATAATTGAATTTAAAAATTTAAACAAAAGATTTTATTCCTGGAAGTTGGGGCCAAAATGTGGGTGTGCATTATACTTGGCAAAATACGGTAGTATGTGTTGGAACCAAAATAATGAGATTAGCTTTTCTAAAGGAGGTGAGGTCCTGCTGGGAAGCAGTAAAAGACTAAGTTTGTAAATAAAATTATAAAACTAGTTTGAAGAACTAAGTCTCAATCTAATGAAAAAACGGAGAACAACTCAAATGGTAGTCATGACCCAAGATTCTCCAAGACAACCCTATGAGGTAAAGAAACTGAAGAGATTCCAGTTAAAAGAACAAAAATAAAACTGAACAAGGTGATTTTTTAACTTTACCGTTTTACATGCTAAAAAAATGTAGGAACAATAAAATATAATAGCTAAAAGCACCAGATTTGGAAATGGCCCTCCTATGATCACCATTCAGTTCCACCACTTTCTAGCAATGTCATTTTTGGAAAATTACTTAACAGCTGTGTCTCAGTCTCCACCTGGAAAAACGGGTGCCTGTACAGCCAGGAGCGGCCGCTTCCAAACACAGGTGTTACTAATATCACTCTAATCAAAAACTTTATTCACAATATCAAATTCACATCTTTTAGGTACTTGCAGACTCCATAATCTAGCCCCAAACTTTCTGGTCTTAATCTTCATTGGACACCCCACCACTTCCACGAAGCATGTGAATCTGGTGTCAGTTCTGCATACCCGTAAGCATTTTCTACTTTCGTGCCTCATCCCACTTCTCTAGGAAATTAACTCTCCTTCCCTCCAATTCCATTGCACATCTGTCTGCTCCTCGGTACAATTTACCACTATTTTCCCTGTTTATGCACTTAAACTTTTTAATGTCTCCCTCTCCTCTTTTCGCGAAGCTGTCAAACTTCTCTAGAGCAGGCAAATCATCTGCCTTCCCACCCTTCATCTCAGACTGTGCAGGCCTGGAAAAGCGTTACTGAATGAAACTGGATGTTTACAACTGTAATGGCCGCAGTTCCAGAAACTGCTTAATTTCGTTTCATGCCAAACTCTTGGCATGAAATGTCTTTAAGTAGCAGAACATCTCCGTCCTTCAAGAAAAGTTCTACAGAGCACCCACACGCGTTGACAGAACGATCATTCTTAGCTTCAGAAGTTGTGTGTGCGCACCTCAAAGCTCAGCTTCATGCCCGTCAGTTTTGTACTTAGAAATAAAAAGCGCCACCCGGGCAGCAGCAAGGGCTGCACTCTCCGCCACCTCAACTTCCCGCGGGCCCGCGGGCTCAGGCCGCGATCCTCCCTCTCCGCCGCACTAGATTCTCCAGCCCTCGCCGCCCCTCGTCCCGCCACAGCAACTCCCCCACCCGGTAGAGGCGCGAACGGCGCTGCAGGTTGTTCCGGGCGAGCCGACTCGGGCCTGGGCAGGAGCGGCCCTGCCTGTAGTCCCCCGGCTTCACCCGATCCGCTGGCCACCCCGGGCCCAGGCCACCCGGGGCCCAGGCCGCGCTGCCGCCCCGATAGGAGATGGGGGACACGGTGGGCTCCGCGTGGCGCCGGGGGCGGAGCCGGGCCGGAGGGCCTGGGGAGAGGCCGGGGACCCGCGGCCTCCGCCCACCCAGACGCGTACCCCACCGCCCCCAACCCCAACCCGCCTCGGGGCCCAGGTCCGCGCCGGCGGCCGGCGGGAATCACCACTTACCAACCCGCCTGGGACAACGCCGCGCCGAGCACTTCGGCCATGGCAGCTGCTTAGGCCGGGGATGGTGGGGGGCTGGTGGGGGGGGCGGCTTCCTACTTTAGACCAAAAAAAAAAAGGAAGGAAGAAAGGAAGAAAAATAAAGAAAAGAAAGAAAAAGAAAAAAAAAAACTCCTCTGGTCGACACTACAACTGGGCATGCTCAGTGCAGCCGGCGCTTCCGCGTGCGGGTTCCGCACGCCGAGTTTTCCTAGCGGCCAGAGGGGCTGGCACGGTGTTGGTCTGGGTGACTGCGGCGCGCCGAGGCGGTAATCAGCCAGAGACGGGATCAGGCGGGAGGTAGGAGGCCGGTTTGTTACCAAGGACCACGAGATTTTTGCCTCTCCGCCAAAGGCTGGCTGTTGCTTGTTCTGGGTCACTTTTCTTGAGTTGCACACCTTGGAAACTAGTTGGGGAGGTTCTGTGTAGAGCAGAGTAAGGTCCGCGGTTCCTGCGCTAACAGGAATGGTCGGCCCAGAGAGAGCAAGATAACGCTAGCATAGAGATGGACTCGAGGGAGCTCTTGCAGTACCGCGCTTATAGGGCCATGTTTCATGCGGAAGGACTCAAAGGAAAGCGGTTCCCAAGCCCATTCTGCGTAGGAAAAAAGTTTACTTTCTTATAAGCACTCATTCCATTCATCCTGCTTTTCTGTCTGCCTGGACGCAAAAAACGCAGTCGACTTTTTTTCCTGTCCCCACAGGCAAATCAAATAGTCCGAGGCAGGCACCACAATGAAAGTGAATGGTCAACCCAAGAAAACCGGCACTTAAGAAATGTGGAAAAATCGGGCAGTTGAGTCAGTGCTAGTTTTCTCTCGTGGCTGTCTCACTGGGCCCGACCAGGTCCCAGTGTGGCCCTCTGACGTTGACACAGAAACACTAGACCTGCCTACCACCCACTATTTGCGGTAACCGCAGGCTCTCTGGCGGGATGAAGCTCTGGGGCGGGTCCCCGAGTGGGCATGCGCTGCGGCGGCGGGGAACGGCACGCTCAAGTGTGATTGGGCAGCTGGTACGTCAGCCAATCAGGAAGCACGCGGCTCTGCGAACCTCTCCCTAAAAATTTGCTCCGCCCATCACCGTCTTTCACCCGCGCCCGAGAAAAAGATTCAGGTGTTGTCCTGGGCTGACAATTCCCAGTGTGAGACTGTTGAGAGCTTAAATCCTACCACTGCGATGGCTTTATTTGAAGCCATCATCTTAAACAGATTTAAAACGGATTGCGAAACTGGGGAGAGCCACTGCTGGGACTGCGGAGGATATAATTGACTGTTAGAGAAGGAAAGGTGCTAATTGTCCTAGGGGGAGCTAAAATTACTTAATACAGATATTTGTGATTTTAACTGGGATGTGCCATCCGGGCTTCCCAAAAGTCATAGTTCTAAAAGCGCGATGTTTTCCAGACTTCGAATGCTATTGTAATACGTCCCAAACACTTTTAGAAAGAGGAGTAACCCGGTCGTATTCCCTACAATCTGCAGTTGCATACAATATATGTAAAAGGTTTTATATATATATATATATGTATATACATATACACACATATGCTACAGGTTATATATATATGTAACATATATATATATTGCTACAGGTGCATTTCAATTTATGAAATACCAGTCATAATATCCAGAAGTCAGGAAATGATTTACCCTTCTAAAGTAAATAGATAACTCAAAATTTAATTTAATTAATTAAATTGCTAATAATTCTTATCGAATGTGGATAGAATCTTCTCTTACCAATTATTTACATTTTGAGATTAATGTAACATGTTAACTATGAAAATGATAGGTTGCTCTAATCATCAGACATCTTCACTGATTAAATGTGAAGCCTTCACATATTTATTCACATATGCAATATGTGTATAAAATAAGTGTAATACAATAAGAAATTACCATTGTAGGGTACTTAAAATGCTGCACAAAACACTAAATTCCCTTGCTTAATTTAAGATATCTTTTAAAGAATGAGTTGAGGGTTTCCACTGGAGAAATTTGGGACAATATGTGCATCAAAAAGAATAATTACAATAATTAGATAAAGCTTATGAGTATAGAGTGCCACTAAAATAGGAGGAAGAATGAAAATTTTTCACAAGAATACTAGAGATTAAATGTAGAACAACTAATAGAATTAGAAGAATCACTATTTTCCAAAACAATCACAAACAACTCAGGCAAAGTTCATCAGAGAATGCTGAAAGCCACTAAGTGAAAGATTGTAGAAATAAAGGCTCTTCATTTGTTCTCAAGGTGTCAAACTTATAAAATAGAAAATGTACCGTTACTTTAAAATAGTCACTGCTTGTACAAGTGACCAAAGTTAGAATTGCTAATAATGGGACAATCTGATATTATGTGCTTTCCAATGTTATGCAATTAGAAATATATGTTATCTAAGAACTATTCTTGCCAAAATTGTTTAACTTGATTTTAATCAGGATTTTAGCCTGTGGTTCCCAACCGGGGATAGATCCCCACCTTGCTCCTTTACCCTCCTCTACCCTCCTGGGCATGACAATGTCTGGAGACATTTTGGTTTGTTATAATGGAGAGGGGGACAGGTAGGGAGGTGGGGTGGAGAGGGTTGTTACTGTATCTAATGGGTAGAGGCCGGGGATGCCACTAAACATCAGAAAATGCACAGGACAGCCTCTCCACGACAAAGAATTATTTGGCCCAAAATGTAAATCATGCCAAGATTAAGAAGCCGTGGTCTAGATGTAAGCATGAAGTTAAAGGATATATAGGAGACATTAGAATAAATTAAACATGAGGAGATAAATCCAGAGTATGGTGGTATATTGTATAAGAAACTTGGTTTGGACTGTTCAGATAAGCCATTGTAATTTTTTAAGAAAAGTAGAATTCTTCCAGATTGAAGAGACCCAAGAGATATGACAACAAAATGCAATCCTTGATCTTAAAGAGACATGGTATTGTCCTTAATCCTGAAAATTTTATGCCAAAATATTTGTGGCTGAAGAGTTGTGGTATCTGCAACTTATTTTCAAATGATTCAGAGTGTGTCTTTGGATATGTACACCCATATAGGTAGATATACTTACATAAATAAGTATACATGTATATATAGGGTAGGCAAAAGGAGGTTTAAAGTTGTATGAAATATAATATAATAACTAATAAATGACACAAGAATAAACTTTGTTTCACATACACCTGTAAACCTACTTTAGCCCTACCCCATATGTATAGCATGAAAGAGGGAAAGAAGGTAAATGTGGCAAAATGTTAAAAATGGGTGAATTTCATTGGAGGCTCCAAGTGGTCATACATACTTTTTCCCTAAGTATGAAATTGTTCTAAAAATAAAAACTTAAGGGGAATGTATGGGTTATACCAATTTCTTTCACATCAAAAAGTTTTTATTGGAATTATAAGGTCTGTCCAGAAAGTGTCCAGTCATGTAATATGAAAATAGACATTTATTGAAGAAGATACAAGATACCAAGAAACATTGTACACAGGACAATGATGCCTCAGTCCCCTTCAAATTAGACACTTTGGGACCTCACACAGTTCTCCCAATCACCATCAGCTGCCCCATCATATTTTCCTGAATCTCATTGACATTATGAAATCTCTTCCCTTTCAAAGGTGATTTTAATTTTGGGAAAAGCCAGAAGTTGCAGGGCACCAAATCTGGGCTATAGTGGTGTTGAGTCACCTGGATGTTTTGCAAAAAAACTCTGCATGAGAGGTGGTGCATGAGCAGGCAGGTTGTGGTGATGAAGCTGCCAATCACCAGTTGCCCATAGCTGTGGCCTTCTGAATCATCCAAATAGTTTGCACAGTGGAATGTTCAAGCTTACACAAAATTTCATGCAGATTCTTTGCTCTACTTGCTCATTTTGAATGTGATGGCCACACAGTATATGTGCTCACTCAACGATATCTACCACCCTCACTGACTAGTACAGTGAAGTTGTCATGGTTCACACAGGCACATTCTAGTCCACTGTCCTTGGCTACCTCGTTACATCAGTGTTGCACAAACTATTGTCATTATATTAACAATGGGCTTTTCCCAAACAGAGCTCCTTTGTTCTGTATAGATAAGTTAGTGCCTTTGAAAAATGGTAACAGCAGACTAGATAAAAAAGTGGATCTCCATTTTTAATGAGATGCATTATTGATTTACACAAAATGTAAAGCTGAAAGTTGGGGGAACTACTAAAATGACAAAAGAGCCTTAGGTACAAGAGGGCAAAAAGGCAGACTTCAATTTATTTGTAGTCAATGGTATAAATTAACACAAGAGAGACTGGGAATCCATTCGCCTCTTTTTTGCCCCTATCACTTCAGTGAAAGAAAAGGTTCTCAGACTAAAGAAGGATAAAAGAATATGAGTAAGTAAGAATAGAAGATACAACAAAATATGACATTTTAAAAGTACTTAGTTTCTCTGAGGCACAATAAATTTTTTCTTGAGGCCATTTACATTCCAGAAAATACAAAATAACCAGCAAATGACTTAGATAAGCCAATACCAAGGAACCCAGAAGAACTGGGCTCATCAGGAAATGGTGCTAAAAGCTGGAAACAGGGAAAAATATTTTCTGTTTTAAGAAAGGGAAAAGAGCCCTGGCTTATGTGGCTCAGTGTGTTGAGTACCAGCCTGTGAACCAAAAGGTTGCCAGTTCAGTTCCCGATCAGGGCACACACCTGGGTTGTGGGTCAGTTTCCCCAGTTGAGGGTGAGAAGCAACAGGTTGATGTTTCACATATTGATGATTCTCTCCCTCTCTTTCTGCCTCTTCCCCACTTCTAAAAATAAAAATAAAATCTTTTAATAAAAAGAAAGGGAAAATAGTTTTTCAACAAATATTACTGGGACAACTGGATATCCACATACAGAAGAATAAAGTTGGAGTACTTCATTATATCATATACAAAATGCTGAAAATTTATTATAGATTTAAATGTAAAAGCTAAAAATATAATGCACCTGTATGAAAAATGTGTAAGTAAATCATGACACCAGATTTGGCAGTAGATATGACATTCAAGCACAATCGAAAAAAAATTTTAATAAAAAGATATACTGGACTATCAAAATTTAAAACTTTTGTGCATCAGAGGACACCATTAAGACAGTGAAAAGACAACTTAAACTGAATGGATGAAAATAGAGGTTGTACTGAGAATACCTATCAAAAACTTTTACAACTTAATAATAAAAAACAACCCAGTTAATAAATGGGTAAAGCATTTGAACAGCTATTTTTCCAAAAAAGATATACAGATAGCCAATAAGTAAATGAAAAAGGTGTTCAACCTCCTTAATCATTAGGGAAATGTAAATCAAAAGCACAATGTGATATATCATACCCAGTAGAATTGATATAGTTAGAAAGACAGGCAATAACAAGTGTTGGTGAGGGTGTAGAGAAATGAGAACCTTCATAATAATCAAAGAGGATATAAAGTCATGCAACTACTTTGGGAATAGTTTGGTAGTTCTTCAAAAAGTTAAACATAAAGTTACCGTAGGACTCAATTCTAGTCCTAACTGTAATGCCTAAGACAAATGGAAACATGTGCACACAAAAACACATGGATGTTCATAGCAAAATGATTCATACTCACCAAATAGTGAAAACAATCCAAATGTTCATCAACTGATAAATAGATAAGTGGGATTCCACAAACAAGGCTGGGGAATTTACTCTTAACACATTAGCCATGATTCTAGAATTTGTGATTTAGGAGATAAATATTTAATAAGACGTAGAATTGAAATAGCTGGCTTCTAAAGGTTGTTTGACTCCTATCATTCTGATTCTAAATCATATCACTTAAGCCTCATTTCCTTCAGAAAAATTGTAAGTACAAGAAATGGGATATGGTCATTAGGATAGAGTAGGTTATGTTACGATAATAAACAACCACGATATATTAGTGGCTTTTAATCAAAAATGTTTTTCTTTCGTGCCATATGTGCAGTGAGAATGTTGGGAGAGTGGAAGAAAGCCTGTGATCATAGTGGTCACCATCACTCCACACCCGGACAGAGCACCGACCATCTCACACCTGGTCATGGAGCAGCAGATAGAAAGGAGGCTCTGGACAATCTGCTGACGAAGATGTGTTAGATGTGTATGTGGAGTGATGGAATAAAAGCAAGTTTTAATAGGATAAACTACTGAACTAATTAAGAAAAGGCAAAAATCCCAGGAGAAAAATGAGCAGAGGATATGAATAGACTGTGCAAAAATAAAATGTAAGTAGTCAATGAATATGTGACAATATTTAACCACATCAATAATCAAAAAAGCAATGGGGTGTCAATAAAATTCTATTTTTATCTAACCCCAATGCCAAAAGTTAATAAGCAATATCAAATGTTGGCACAGATATGGGAAAGTTTATTTTTTTAATACACCATAGAAAGTGAAGTCAATACAACTACTTTGGAGAGCATTTTGGCAATATCTAGAAATACTGAAGATGTACATACCTTATGATAGAACATTTCCATTTTTAGATATTTATTCTAGAGAAAGATCTTCACTGAAGCATTGTTTCTAATAGAAGAAGAAAAGCAACTCCAATGCCCAATTAGGGAGAAATAGGAAGGAAAGAACATGGTGTATTTATAAAATAGAATGTGCTATGCCAGTTTAAAGAAATACACTGAATCTCTCTACATATCAGTTGAATGCAACCCAACAATGAAATGCCACATTAAAACACACACATACACACACTACAATCATCCAACGGAGCTCTCTGCAATGAGGGGAATGTTCTATATCTGACCATGCACTATACTAGCCACTAACCATATCTGGCTACCAAGCACTTGGAATATTGCTATTTCAATGAAGGAGTTGATTTTTAAATTTTCATTTTGATTAATTTAAATGTAAATAACCACATTGGTTAGTGGCCACATACTTACTGGACAGTTCGGGTATATTTATGTCTGGATTGTAGAGGAGGACATATGTATGTAGAAGTGTAAAAATAGATTTGAGGAGTGCACAACAAACTTAGAGTACTAGTTGAAACGGGGAAGAAAGGTCATGGATCTGAGGGTAATTGCCAGAGAGGATTATTCGCTTTATCAGTAAAGTTTGTTTCTTTAAAAAAATAGAAGCAGTGATGACAATGTATTAGTTATTGTTCATTGAGTACTAAGAATATGGATATTTTTCTGTTATTATTTATACATTTTGTTACATTTAAAATACTTCAAAAAAGTGACTTGTGTCACTTGTATTATGATGGCACTTAATAATAAGGTACTTTTACTTTCTAGAGTATATTTTTCTATTGTTAATATAATCAAAATATAACCAATATGAAAAAAATAAAGAGGAAAGGAAGGCCAAAAGGAGACTACTCTAGTGACCTTTAGCAGTTTGAAAGACTCATGTAAAAGGAAATTTAGGCTCATTCTTGTCAATCCCAGAGGGTAGTCCTGGGGACAAAAGTAGATTTTAGCTCAGTATAACGAAGAATTTTAATCTAGAAGCAACCCAGCAAGGTAACAGGTGCCTTAGAAAGAGTGAGTTCTCCAGCAATGGAGGTATTCAAGCCTCTGTTAGATGATCAATTGCTGCAAACATTATAGAAAGGAATCTAAGCAGTTAGAATGGTTCATTGGTTTTCAGAGGATTTCCTAAGGATTCCTAGTGGCTTCACTTCGTGTCTCAAAAGCCACAGTAGTGGGCAAAGAGAGGGGTCATCAAGCTGGAGTCTCGGCCTCCGAGCCCACTCAGAGCAGAACAGCGCTTATTTTATCTACTTTATTCACTGCATTGTGATGAAAGATTTCATCTGAATAAAGGATTCAACAAATAAAAAGTTTTAAAAACCATGAGACTAGATGAAAACACCAGTCTTTCACTCAACAAGGTTTTACTGAGTCCACACTGGGAACGAATCCTTGTGCCAGGCACTGCAGGTGAAATCAACAGTCATGATCCCTGCTTTTGAAGCTTACAGTCTGTCTCAGGAGAAAAGCATTAAGTTGCTTATACACAGTTGATTGTAAGTGCTATGAAAATATCCAACCAAACCTCTGGGCTCTTATGAGTGACACTGTGAATCTATATTTTCATGTCAAAATGACTATTTTTTAAAATATTTTATTTATTTATTTTTAGAGACAGGGGAAGGGAAGGAGAAAGAGTGGAAGAGAAACATCAGTGTGTGGTTGCCTCTCACGTATTCCCTACTGGGGACCTGGCCCACAACCCAGGCATGGGCCCTGACTGGGAATCAAACTGGCAACCCTTTGCTTCACAGGCCCATGCTCAATCCACTGAGCTACACCAGCCAGGGCAAAATGACTATTTTTCTTAACCCTGGGGTGTGATGGGACCATATCCTACCTGCTTATGAACGCCAAACACATCTCCAGAACACAGCGTTCACATCATGTTGTCAGCGTGAAATTAGCCACAGTGTTTCTATACCACAGTAATTGGCAAGTGCTACAAATCAGGTTTGTTCGTTTTATCTTTTTCTACAGAGCCAGTCATTAAACACTTAATAGGACACTACTAGGTATACCTCCAAGAGCAGAGAATTTCAAGATTAGAAGACATGGTTTAGATAACGTTTGCAGATACACAAATTATCTGAGTTCAAGAACTGAGTTCTATAGAGATAGATGCTTTTAAAGTGAAAAGAGTCATGCTGCCTTCAGTTTGTATATTGTAAGAAAGTGACTTCTCTACCCAGATAAGTCCTAATTCATTTAAATCTGAGCCAGTACTACTTCAGAAAAGAAGAAAATCACTCTCCCAGCTCTAAAACAATTGTTTGCTTCGTAAAATGACAAATGTTTAATTAACTTGAGTTTGTGCTATATATTTAATGTGTTCTTGAATGATATTGTTGTCTATTTATTTGAATATCATATTAACAAAAATTTATTTACTAAGTCCTAGGCATGGGGAAATAGCAGCGAATAACAAAATGGGGTTCTCTGCCATTACAGAGATTTTATTCTCTTCACTTAGGGAAGAAATCATATGTTTTATTTAGTAAATTCAATATTAGGTGATCACTGTTAACATGAAAAATAGCCTCTTTTCCAGGCCCTTCTTGCCAAAGCTAGCTGGACCCCATAAAGTGTGATTGATTCTTGTTTTATGAGCTTCTATCCTCAGGACTAGGAAATTATGTGAAGCGCCCTCTCCTGGAACCTCTGAGACAGCACATGCCAGGCTGCAATGACTGCACCCTGCACTCACCGGTAACATTGAAACAAGACCAAGGGAAACATCAAACATCGTGCTCTACAGCCGCCCCAAACACCTAATTAAAGCTCAAACCCCCACCCCTCAGGGCTGGTGTATCTCTCCACACCAAGCCTCTATTCACTCTTGGAAAGTAAATAAAAAACTATACTCTCTGCACTTCCTTCTTTTTTGAATTCTTTCACAGCTCACATCACTGACCACCCTAAGATTTTGGTTGCCCATGAGGGACTTTCTCTAATTCTCCCTCTCCCTCTCCCCCGCCTCCTGAGACTTTCGACCTGAGGGCAGTGGGCAGCTGACGCTCGCCCCAGGCTAACCCCGGAACCTTGTCTCTATGAGGCTTGGAGAGAGAATTCTAATCCTTTTCTGTCCCTCTGGACTCTGCAGAGAGCCCCCTCCTTACCCCTTCCTTACATGGCCAGGGACCGGTGAGTCTCTGCATCTTGGGAGAGAAACATTAGCTTTGTCAAAAGCGATAGCTTCTCACCACCAGCCCCCACCATCTTGTCATAAACCCCCAAAACTGGGTCCCAGGGTTTGGGCTGTGAAGTACACCTCAGACCATTGTCCTGCTGGGTTTGGTCTGTTCTCAGACTCAGGGACACCTGGCTCTGGACAGATCTTTGGGGTTCAGTCTGCTGTCCGGCTCAGAAATACCTGGCTCTAAGGCAGATTTTTGTGACCAGTCTGCCCTAAAGCTTGAGGACACTGAACTCTGGTGGCAGATTTTCAGGTCGTGTAAGCAGGGGATGCTCTTCTTGAAACTTCCCCTCCCTCTATTTGTTCTCACCCCTCAGGTGTTCTTCCCTTTTACCATGGGCAACACTCAGTCGACTCCACCCAAGGCTTCCACACTGGGATGTCTACATAAGAACTTGAGGCTCTGGGATTTACCCACCTCAAGCCCGGGTGCTTGACTTTCTACTACAATATGGCCCTCCCCAATTTCACACTGGGTAACCAGGAGGTTTGGCCCATGGACAAGATCTCTTAACTATAATATTATCCTCCAACTCAACCTTTACTGTCATGGTCTCAATCCCCTACTTAGGTTTAGTTCTCAAGAGGAGTCGAGAGTTTAACCTTCAGGGGGGATTCCAGGAATTCCAGGCCTCTCTCCGAACTATGCCTTTTTGTTCAATTTTGCCTCACAAGTTTTTTTCCCTCCTTTCTCTGACCATTCTATTACCTCTCTACCACCACCACCCCCCAAAGACTGTAAAACACTCTAAATTTTTCTCCTGGAGACCTGGTAGCTGCTAAACCCTGGGGAAAATGGGGCAAATAATGCTACTCAGACTCACTGTGGGTTGCAGAAGCAGCAGGGTGCCTGCCTCTCAATGCAATGACAACTGATAGTTTTAAACTCCAGCCACTTTTCTACCTCTTTGCCTGTCTCTTTTAACAACCCCTTCTTCTCTTCCCCCCACTTTTCCTCCACAGACCTCTCCTCTCTCCCTTCAGATTGGAGTTGCCCCAGCCATTCCTATTCCAACCAAGCCAGCCATCCCTTTCAGGAACCCTCTAAACCTGTGACCCTATAACCTGTGACCCATGGACCCCCCAAAGAGGGATTTGTAATGGGGTCCAGAACTCAGGGTGTCCAGGAAATATTAAAAATACAGGATGTCCTGCCCCCTTCCCCCAAGTCTGAACACAGGGAGCAGGGCCATGGAGAGTTAGTTTGCACATCAACAGTTTTACAAATAACCTCAAGGATGGTCATTTAACAGATCTATAACTTTTGACTGGTTTCACAGATATGGCAAGTAGCTGTGGCCATGCTTTGAGCCAGGGAGACAAAAGCGGCTTCAACCCAGGTTATAACTGGCAGGTAAATCCCCCTGGTTACAGCACCTGTGTGAGAGCTTCGAGATGGTTGGCTCCATGCCACAGGGCCACACCTGCCTGGACTTACAATGGCAGTTGTAAGAAAAGCTGGAAAAATACAGGGATGCTGGCAGGTGTAGCCAATGGTGGGAGGAGTCAGAAATGGGGCTGCAGCGGAAGATTGGTGCTGGGATTTATGCCCAGGCGCAGCAGCCATGAGGAGAAGAACCACATGGCTTTGGGTCTCCCTTTGCCAAGCAGCTTAGGAAGCCAGAAAGCAACATGTAACAGCGATGCAGAGCTCTCTCTTAGCAGTTTGGAAGAATGCAGGAGAGACACTGCAGGAAGGAAAGGGGCAAAAGGGCTCTTGCTGGTGGGCTGTGAGAAGGTGCCATTCAGGTTTGAATTAAGAACTGGAGATCATGGCAACACAGTTGATGGTACTGGGAACCTTGGGAGGTCTGCCAGCCAAGTGTGGATTACTGGGGAGAACTGGGAACTGCCTCAGCCACAGACATCTATTTCTTTTCCTGAGATACATTACCACTGACTGGGCAAAGGTCAGGAGGAAGGACTGTGTGTATGGGTGTTTTAAAGGACTTTGGCATTTTAACAAAGTCTCATTACTCTAAGTCTGTGTAACTTTTGAATACATAGTTCCTTTCCTTTTCACCAATCTCTGGCACTGAGAGCCATAATTTCTTGGCAGTGGGCAAGGTGAACCTGGTACAGGGGGACCCCAGTCCCCCTGTACTTTTTATCCAAAGGGCACCCCCTTGGGTAAAAATATCTTGTTCCCCTTCACGGGTCCATTCTGTAACAACCCAACTTCCTCTCCATGAGGTTGCTGGATCAGAGGGCATTATTTGAGTCCAGGCTCCTTTTTCAATATCAGACTATAGTTGGGTATAGAGCATGGGTTCTCTGAAAGTAAGGGGCCCCCAAACCCCCAAATCCTGCAAAGACACAGAGGCAGCGAGGAATGCCCACAGAGTGAAAAGTACAGCATTTAAGGTACATTGCACAACAATAGCATATTAACAGCCTGTGCTTTCCTGAAGTGAGGAGATGTGGAAGCTGCCACAGGAAATTATACACATGACTGTGAGAACATGCTTGGCAGACTGACTTGGCTGTGACACATGGCATAGCCAGGGGGGAAGCTCATACAGTGCCTGTGTGAGCTGCCGGGGTCAATGCTCACCCTGGGTGCTTGTGCTTGGCTGGGAACTCTTGCCCTGACTAATGATGGCAGCTAAAAGAGGGTCAAAGACACTGAGGAGCTGACAAAAATGGCAGACAATGATGCACCATAGGAAGAGCTGGCTGTTCAGCTGCTCAGGAAATTCTAAGCTGAGCATTTAAAATTGGATGAGGCAAAGTAACATGCGGTCCTTAACATTGTGGCCCAGTAACATGTGGTCTGTCACAGGGCCAGGAGGTCTGCATGTTGGTTGGTCTGGAGGCCCATGGCAATTGTCCTCAGCACCCCTTCCTGCACAGGAGATGGCAGCAGGGCTGGTGGAGCTGGGGGGACCTGCCTAGTAAAGCACACAGACTCCCGAGAGATGCTTGGAGCTGAACCGTGATGGGGAATGCTGAGCTGCAGGCTTCTACCTTTCTGAACAATGGTACTTTGAAAGCATATTCTGAAACTGGTCTGGCTTGGCTTAGCAGAGGAAAGCAGGGCTATTTATTTTTCGGTGATTTAAAGGGAGTAGGACTTAACAGCAAAAGTTAGCCATTATTCTAAATCTGTATAACCTTTAAATAAACAATTCCCTTCCTTTTTTACTATACTCTTGCCTTCAGAGTCACGCTTCTTAGCAGTGGGCAATCAAACCCCACAGCTGTCCTAGAACACCATTGGCTGGTTTCTGTAACAAGACCTCTCCCAAACTGAAGTCAGACTCAGCAGTTTAAGTCAGAACCTGTTTTCTTCTGGCTAGGAAATGTTAAGGGCGAACATATAGTCTTACCAATCAAATCTGCTCTGATTCACCTGGTAGGTGAATCAAATATCTTTTTCCAAAATAACTAAGTAAACTGGATACTGGACCAAAGGGGAAAATAATGATTTTAAAGGACCCTCCCAAGAGGAAATTAATCTTAACACTGATGAATGTTTGCTAACTATCTTTTCTTCATCATTAACTTCCATGAGAACCTCAGGGACAGCATAACAGGGCACCTGCTCCACTCACAATGGCCCGAAACAGCCCAGGGACTTACAGGGAGGCTTCTAACTCTCTGTTTGACATATATATGTCTCTCCATCCATGGGGAACCACTCCAAAGTTCAAGAGTCCCCAACCGGTGTACATACTCACCAACTGGGAGAAATTTGACCCTGAGTCCCTCAAGAAAAAGGCCAATCTTCTTTTACAACATGGCCTGGTCCTAATAAAAGTAGGCAATGGAAAAGTTTGTCTAGTCAATGACACCCTTAATTTGAATGCTATCTTGCAAAAGGACCTGTTTTGCTATTCCCTTGGAAATGGACAGAGGTTCCATATGTTTAGGCCTTTATGGTTCTCGGGGATGAGTAAACTATATGCTGTCAAGAAACTGAAGAAATATACCCAGATGGAAAAAACATTTCAAATATGGATAAATGAATTTGTCAGTCCTTCACAAACATATGGGTGGCTACCCAACCGTTGAGATATTAAAAATAACTGTCTTTGTTTTATGAATAAAGTCTTTACAAGGCCAGAAATGTGGTCCACTAAACCCTTTTGCCTTTCCAAAATATCTTCTATTCATCTTTTTAACAAAACCTTATGTGTAATTGGCATTATGAAACCAAAGTCCTTCTAGGAGAAGTTTTCTTTTCTTTACCTATATTTTTTAAATGCAGATACCTGGTCTTCTTCAGGAACTCTTGTCTAGGCCATCTAAAACACAAATTTGGGGGAGATAATTCTTATGAAATGGAGAAAATCTGAGCTATATTTGAGCTAATTAATTTATTTCAGCTACTCCTTTTTAAATTAGTAAATTTTTATAAGTTATTGAATGTCTAGGTATTTTGAAATTACATGAAATACTGAAACATTGATTGTTAGACAAGTCCTAAGTTCACCTGCTTTTGGCTTTTTATTACAAAGAGGCTGTAGAGTGGATTTGGAATTGTAGATAAATGCCTTGTGCTTTGTTGGAGGTGTGTTTCTTGACAATGAGAGTGTGCTTGCCAATAAAGGAACTGATGTTTCTAAAGATCATGAAACGTGTTCATAAAAGTTAATCTAGGGAATGCCAGTTGCTTACCATTTATCATTGGAAATTGAGGTTTCTAAAAGTTAAAAGTTCAAATTAT